GTTTCTGCTTGTTAGGCAAGATAAAGAGGGAAGGAAGAGGACAGAGAGACCGGATGCAAGAGATAGGTCGTAGAAAGAAAAAAGAAACAATAAATCGCTATGTGAAGCGGCGTGAGAGGGGAAGCCCGGGCGGAGAGCGGCTCCGGTAGATGGAGAGCAGTCAGTATTGTCGACAATCAATCTCTCGCTGGAGATTTAACAAGCATCCGCCTTGAAGCGTTTCCTACACCTCATCCTGGACATGAGCCGGCTCACTTGACACTTCAGCGAAGCCCCCCACCGCTTGTCTCTGGGCTCGACATGAAAGCTGTTGAACGGTATGCTGGTCTGGAGGTCGAACGTACGGCAGCCGGCACCAAGAAAGTAGAGAAGGGAAAATGACTGGATAGAAGCCGAATCTGGGACGAAGATACCATCCACGAAGGCGCAGGATTCCAGAAGATAGAAAAGACACGCAGGCGATCCGCTCGGAAGACGCTATTTGCTGCCGAACACTCTTGGTGGATGAAGAAGCGATGCAAGGGAGGGAAGGGATTGAAAGTCACAACCCTAGTCAGCCTGGCCGAGCGCCCACACTGACGCAGGTGCCCGCACGGCGCGATCAACCAGCAGTCAATTCTGCACTTGGAGAAATGTTGTACCCGGATGGAGTCAAGGGTGATGGCGTAGGGAAGGGAAGGAAGGGAAAGGTGCGACAAGGGTAAATCCGCGGAGAGGAGAGAGATGAACGAGCGAAGCGGTCGGGAGTCGAGAGAGACGAATTGTGGTGGTTGTCGTTAGTTGGTAAGAAAGGTCGGGGTGTTGAAAAAAGGAATAATCAGGAGGATAATAACGACAATAAGGATAATAGTGAGAATAATAATAATGAAAGAAATAATAAAAAGAAGATTAATCAGAAAAAGAGGAAATACCAATCAAGAATAATGAGGGGGGGGAGAGAGAATCAATCAATCAATGAAGACGGCAATCGAAATAGAGGATGGAGGAACGAATCACATTAAGAAGGCCGGCAAAATCCGAATCAGGGAAGCGATAGTGTTGTAGAAAGGTTGAACATGGCACCACTAGCTGATGACAATCTTCCGTAGTCAATGCCAATCAACAGGCAACTTCCAGCCTTCACTGATAGTCGAACTGATTAGTACAGTACGGGGCATACAATGAGAAAGGGCACCGGAATCCAGGCACCGCAAGGCTGTGGAAGCGGAGCTGATCCCAACGGCGGGCGGAGAGGAAGACAAGATTTGAGACAGGAGGAGAAAAGTGTAAGGATAAGAGAATTCCGGGTGGAAATTCAAAAGGGAAAAAAATATGTCAGAAATCGCTCCGGAAGTCAGCCAGTAGAAAAATGTTCTTTGTACTCGTATTAGAGATTTTTTTAATTTCTGCCTTTCTCTTCGACTAGGACTATTTTGCTTGACCGGAACCACATTCGAAGACGACCGAGCATAAAGGAAGCCTTTGGATCTTGGATGGAGAAGCAGGAGGAGGAGCAGCAGCAGCAGCAGCAGCAGCAGCAGTAGCAAGTCGCAAGACGCAAGAAGAAGGATAATAATAATGAAATACGGAATTTAAAGCTCCAGTGGGCGGACCATTGGGTGGGTCTTAGCTGGACTTGGGCCTTTAGTCTGCAATCCACTCTCTGTAGCAGACAAAGAGTCAGTCACCATTCATGACGGAGCGGAGCATCTCAAACGCAAGCCGTGGACGGCGGCAGCCACCAAATGGTTCCAGGTTCCTTTTTTTGAGAGTGGGGGGAGAAAAACGCGAATGGGCCAGTGGGAGTGGAGCCAATGACCACTGGGGCTGGAACCTGGTGGGTTTGAGTAGGTATTTGAGGCGTCCAGGGTGAAGATGAGTCGGTGGTGGCTGAGATGAGACGGTGTTCAAACGGTGCTGCCGTTGGAAGTGATGCAAATTATCAGTGTCAGTATATACGGACTGAAACGGGGACTCACTCAGACTTTGAATTGATTAACCAAGTAAGAGGCAGCAGCAGTATGTAGTATGTAGTACTGTAAAGTCACTGTGCGTAGTGTAGTGCAGTACGCAGGAGTAAATAATAATAGCGAAGGTAAATTCCTCCCGCTTGGATGAATAAGTCAAGTAGATCACTAACTAGCTCTGGTTTCCATGGATGGCGTCGCTCCTGCCCTCTCTTCCCTCATCCCTCTTCCCTCTTCCCCTCCTCCTCCACCTCCACCTCCCCTCCCCTCCCCTCCTCTCCTCTCCTCTACTCCACATCCGGTCTCTTTGATACTGAATTTCTGATAACTCGCCCTCTCGTCTCTGTCAATTACATGAGTAGATATCAACGGAGTCCGGAGTTTACGGATCGCTGCACCGCCAGCATTTATAGCATCATCCTAATCTCCTATCCCGTTTCTCTTCCTTCCCTTCCTACCGCTTCCGTCCTGAGACATATTCCGTCACTCAATCACACATACTTCAGAGTACAACCCTCCACCACCCACACGGAGAGCAGAGAGCGGATCGCAACCAAAGAAACACGCACATCAATCCCCTCTCCTCTTCCTTTCACAACACCCCCCCACCTTCACTTTTCCCGACCCACCTAGAGTTACGATCCAACGGCCAGGATGGTCTGGCGCTAGCCACTTGGGCGCAGGAGCAATCCAGGCCTGTCCAACGTCAGTGGTCCAGCAGTAATCAGCCATGGATGCTGGGAAAACCCTCCCGACCTCCCCTCTCTTTCCTCTCTCTTTTTATTTTATCCCCCGGTCCTAGTTGGCGCCCGCAGTGATCAAGCCTTGGGGAACCTGCCTGGCTTTTAGGGGCTGCCTGGCAGTTACGATGGTTTGTTTGGTGGGTTGGGTCTCGGAGCGATCTGGCACTTTAGTGGGTGTGGGCTTGGTTGGAGTGGAGTCCCATGTCCATCCTTCTAGCCGCAGCTGCACGCTGGCCTTGGAGAGGGTTGACAAGTTTCTTTTTTCCTCGCATGGTAAGTAAGTCGACAGGGAAAATATAGACTGATCAATCCTTGGATTGTTTACATCTGTATTATTCGGATTTTTCGATCATGGGGGATGTTTCCAACAAAGAACGGAAAGTTGGATCTCTAGATCTTTCAAAGATTCCGATGACAGGGGCCGGAAATCCTGCATCATGTAGTCCGTCGGTCTCTTGCTACCTCAGTAATACTGAGTAGTAATCTCGGCAGGAAGTGAGAATGATAGAAAACGAAGACCAGCGATCAGTGGTGGCTGCACGAATGCGAGGGCCGGAAAATGTTGGGCCATCGTTTGCTGTTGTTACTCGCATCATTTCTGCAGCCCCAATGCGCGAGGCTGAAAAGCAATACACGCATGCCACCTGTGATCAGGTGAGATAGGCTGATAGGTACCTGACAACTTGAGCCCCCCCGCCTCGACCTCTTTCACGGTCGTTTCATTCGTTCGGTAGGCTGCTTTTTATTTTCCCCCAACTGCCGGCGTGGAGTAGTCGATCCCTTTCGTCTGCCGAGAAAAAAACATATATTGAAGCGCTCCAGTCCTGACCACAAACGTACGGTATGAACAAGGCAACACAAGCACCTCACACACATTCAGAGCCCAGCTTCGTTCTGACATAGTTCGTCCCAACACCTCGCTCAGTCCACATCAAATGAATCAACACCAGCCCTCCGCTCCATCTACCTTGGTTCAAATGAAGCCAGCGTCTGCCCGTTCTGTCCAGTCACAGTGGCGAAAACCAGCCAGTTTCGCTTCGCATAGCACAACAGGTAGCTAGGTACGACGATGGTCTTAGAGAGAAATAGAGGCTACCTAATCATCTTTGTTGCCTGTCTGGCCTTTATGATTATAATCCTCCTCTCTTCGTTTTTGTTTTTGTTGTCTCGTTTATGGTTGCTGACCCCCCGCCGCCCATCCCCCCCCCTTCCATTCACCCACCTCAATACCATGCGAGAGACTAGTATATCGAACTATTGATAGTTAATCGGCCCAGACCAAGCGGGAATGGGGCCGCACGCCAAACAGCATCCAAAAATCATCCATTTCTCGAGTCCACCAGAAAGAAAAAAAAAAGTAGGACCCTGAGCTCGATCACCGACGCGGCCATGTCACGAGCCGCGGGGATCTGGAAGAGGGTGTTGCGGATCGGCAAACTTAGTTTAACTACGGGCGTAGACTTATCACTTGCCAGGCAGGCAGGCAGGCAAAGTCGACCACTGTAAACTGGGGGGAGAGGGGTGTCAGTCGTCAGGGCTTTCTCGCCTTAAGGATGTGCACAATTTGCGCATGCATTCTGCACCTGTCAGGTCCTTTTTCTTCTTTCCTTTTCGTGCTTGCTCTCAGATAGGTTTCCTCGCTGGATCCCTCATGTTGATCTGCGGCCAACTGGTGGAGGATCCTCGCGCTCTCGCCCACCCAGAAACAAAAATCCTGGTAAGAACCGTGATGTGTAGGTAGTCATGAGGTTTCAAATCAGAGGTTGTAAAACAAGACTGGCCAGGGATCTTCATTTGCAGTTGGGTCACATAGCGAACTAACTAGTTAGCTTGATCATCATGGCTGACTCAGCTTGTGCATTTGGGAGATTTGAAATGCTGCGTTAAAGGAAAGAAAAATGACTTGTGAAGCAGCCCCGAACTTGTCATCACAAAACAATGTGCTTAGCATTCTGATGGGCTGTCCACCTGGTGCTGCCACTGGACCAAGAGAGTTGTGCCAGTGTGGTGACTTGGACTAGGGTTGCAAAGGGGCACCTGCATGCGGGCGCGTATCAGGGACCAACTGCCATGGGCCATGGGCCATGGCGCCCCCAGGCGGGTGGAGAGCGTGGGATTCTTCGGTGTTGTCCGGCGCCATGCGGAATCCTAATTTTTTTCCCCTTTGCTATTTCCAGTTTATTCGCCGTGACGCCTGCTTGTGGCTGCCACTTAGTACGGATCTGCCCGCATGCCAGGCGACATTCCAGCTTGAAGGATTGATGACAATACGCGGCAGGCGATGGAATTACGAGGTTGAAGAATGGATAAAGCTCATTGTAGGCAAGATTATGATTGAAATTTATAGTGAATTTGATAAGAATATTTGAATTACGTGTTACGAAATGTTGACCGTAATATGGACCACCACATCCACTGTCAGAAGCTGAGCTCCCTTCAAGAATGCAGCGGTGAGTAACGGGTCAGAAGATTTGATCTCCTCTGCGTAAAATAAGCCTATACCACGTTTGGTAACAAGTCAAATCCAGGCCCGAAGGCGGGAAGAGACGGTAAGGGCCAGAGTGTTGCAGAGGATCCAATGGATGGATAGAGAAACTGTTGTTGCCTTGACAGGATCCAGCTCGCACATGGAGGGCAGCAAGTAGACCGTGAAAAGCAATCAGGAGGGTTTTTTGGGGGGGAAGGTACCAGAGGAGATCATTGAACGAGATGTCCAGCGAAAAAACACTTATCATTTTTTGCTGAATGCGAAAACAACAGTGGGAATTCTAGTCATGACTCGTAAGGGTATTTTGGTTTTGTTCGTGAGAACAAATGATCATATTAAGTAACTAGCATGTCGATACATCATCGCGACCGCCATGATACATGATTGATCATTTACTCGGAGGGGACTAGAAGTTTATTAGCATGCGGCGAGCGCTGCCGATCGGGGCTCGGTAGAACGTACCGTCAATCTCGCCAGCCTTGATGTCGTCAGAGACATCCTTGGGGCTGCGGCCATCGACCTGGCAACCGACGGAGAAGGCGGTACCGAGGATCTCAAGGACGGTACCCTTGAGCTCCTTAGCCAGAGAGCGGTGGCGCATCTGGCGGGCAATCTCGACAATCTCATCGAGAGAGACGGACTTGTTGTGCTTGATGTTCTTCTCCTTCTTGCGGTCACGCGGGGGCTCCTTGAGGGCCTTGATGACAAGGGAAGAAGCGGAGGGCACAACGGAGACGGCGGCCTGACGGTTCTGGATGGTGAGTCTGACGGTGACACGCAGACCCTTCTATAAGATCCAAAGAATCGATATTAGCGACTGGTCTTCTGATCGCGGGAGCAAGCGTGTGCACGGTGGTTCCATACCCAGTCACCAGTGTTCTTGGCGATATCTTCACCGATCTTCTTGGGAGACAGACCGAGGGGACCGATCTTGGGAGCCAGAGCAGACTGGGCTCCGACCTCACCACCAGTCACTCTCAGGTGACTGATATATTCGTTAGCATTGCGATTGCCTGGGATTGTCGCGAGAAAAGGAGTTCGCAGTGCGCAACTTACATGATCTTCACCTCATTGGGGTCGAACTTGGGAGCTGCCCAATGGGTTTGATGTCAGTTCAGTCCGCCATTTTGACACCAAGGAGATGATACTTACGCATGGCGAGTGCGAAAGGTGGTCGATCGTCCTTGGGAGTTGTCGGGGTGGATGGTACAAGGAAGGAAGGGAAGCTGTTATCTGAAAGTGAAGGATATTTAGCTGCCATCCGCACCTCCACTAAGCGAGCCGCCCGAATCGGCTTGGCGCAATAGGGCTCAGCCCGATGATATCACGTGACCACATCGAAGAGCCGCGCGTGCCTTGCATGACAGTTGGGAAAATGATGTATATTACTGAGTGACAATCTTACTGGATCTTGCTTGTGTTCAATGCATCTAATTTAGGCAGCTGATATATTCCAGGGTAACAGACAAAAATAGGAAAAACCGCTAAAGATACAAACGACCCCACGACCAACGTAAACCGCCCCTTGCTTCTGTTATGGCCATTTCTTGTCAGATCTAGCTGGTTCCGGAAACAGCAAGCCTGGTGGATTAGGTTAGAGATAATTGACTGCGAATCTGACATATGTTGCGGACTTACTTCATCAGATGGTCCATGAAAGTCTGCAACGAGACATCGTCGGTGAAAATCGTTTGCGACGTGACACCTCCGCCATATCCTCCTGTCGTGTGCGTCGTGGAAGGGTTCAGCTTGGACAGCAGGAAACGCGCCTGGGAACCGCCAGCATCGCAGACAATGAAACGAGGCAAGGGGAAACGGTCCGAGATCAGCTCCTGTGGTTTGCAAACAGTTAGCAGAGAAGCGGAGAATGTGTAATGATGGATGTTCACCAACCCTTGCATCTTCCTTTGGCTGCTCGAGGAGAGCCTTGAGGTTTTCGTAACCCTCCTGATCCTGGTAGCCGGCCTTTCTCCATTCTGCGATAGTCTCTCCGTGGAAAATTAGGATGTGGAAGAAGGTATCCAGTAGCAGGATGTGGGAAGGCTGGATGGAAGCAGAGTCCAGAAGGACTGGCTGGCTTCCTTCGTGCTCGAGAGAATACGAATCGAGCGTGGGCTGAATCATGACAAGAGAATCGCCGACATCCTCGTGGTTGAGGACGTGTCTATAGAAGGCAGTCTCATCAGGCGAGTTGTTGAACACCTGCAAGAACTGGCTTCGGCGCAAGTGGAACATAAATTGAGGATAGAGAGTGAAGTTCTTCTCCAATCGGAAGGAGGTAGGGTCATCCTTTCGGTAGTCGGCAAAGCGAGAGCAGAGCCGGATAAGCATACGGTCAACCCATCTGAGCACATCCGGTCCGTCATCAACCTCAGCCTTGAAGACCGCAATTCGAGCCATCAATACAGCAGCGGCTTCCTGGTCGAAAGACTGTGCGAGTGTGGGGTCACCAGCCGGACCACTGAGATTCCGTGCAACGGTCGTAACTCGAAGGTGATAGTGGCCAGACGAATGCTGGTAGTATGTCAGGAATTGCATCATTCCTCTTTGTGGGCCTGGCTGGACTGCTGCCGGACCGCCTTGGTTCGCGATTTCAAAGTAGACGCCGTAACTCGAGGAGGGGTCGATTCCACACATCTTCCAGGCGCAAGTGTTACCAATGCCGCACTCCGTCTCACCAACCGAGCTAGATTTCTTGTTCAAAGAGACCGCGTGTCCAATGAGTCCGGTAACCTTCAGTTCCTTGGTGGTGAGTACTTCCAGGGATGCGTTGAAGCCCATGAGCAGGTTATCGTTGGCGTCCTTGTCGAAGATTCTGACGAATGATTGCTTGAACTGGGAGGATGTGAAGCTATCCGTGAGAAGCATATGGCCACCAGTGTAGTTGGCGAGATTCTTCATCTCCAGCATACCGACCTGGTCAAGACACCCAGCAAACAGGTCAACAATGTGTCCGTTATTGGCGGCACGCTTGGCCATGCTGTCGTAGAACTATGTGCACCCGTTAGTATAGTATGAGAGCACTTCATGACCACATCAGAACCTACCTTGACAGCTTTCTTGTAGTACTTGATGTTGTCTCTATCAATATCGTGGTGAGAGCGGATAGGCTCCTTCAGCTCAGGGCCGACGACATGACCCGGGCCCTCAGTGGCCGGACCACTGGTGAAGATCATGATGCGTCCACCCGCGTTTTGGAAAGAGGTCTCGAGCAAACCCACGGCAACGCTAAGAGCAACACCAGTACATCTGAGAGGACGCTTATCATTCGCAACAGGCCAAGGATCGCGCTGTAGCTGCTCGAGCACATTCGTGATCTGGAATTCCGCCTGCTGAACGGGGAGAAGGAATCGTGCCGCAGGTCCCAGAGGAGGGCGGGCGGGCTGCTGGGGCATGTTTGGCCGCACCCCAGATGCAAGACCAAGCATCTCCTGGACCTGCTTCGCAGCATACTCTTTGCTGCCGCGGAACACATAAGACTTGGCACATTCGGTGTAGCCAAGCTCATGTACTTGAGCCTGTATCTCCAATTAACATTCCATTCTACCGTGACCGAATCGAGAGTTGTCCCTACCATGGTGCCGAATGTGATCAGACCAACCAAGGCGTTGGCTGGCAACAGCGACAGACTCATGATCAATGAGTCCTTGACGGCCTTCAGGCTGTCTTCATCCTGGCAGGTATCGACAACATAGACGAAGATAGGAGGAGCGGGAGCAGGGCGTGCCAGTTGATACTCGATCGTCGTGCTCATGGGATGGAGTTCCGGGGGTATTGTGCTCTCGGTGATATCCTTGTAGTGAGGGGGCAGAGGGTTGCGCATGAGACAGAAAGGGCAGATCCAGATGCGGGCGCGAACGTCAACATTGCTAAATGATGTCAGTGGGAGCTTTACTTCATTTCCAAAAACAACAATCTAGCGTACGCATAAGGGTTCAAAACGGCCCGGCAGGGCGCTTTGCAGGTCACTGGCTCATATTGTAGCAATGGAGAGTCCGGCTTCTCCTTAAGGGGTGTGTAGACGGCACCGATGGGGACAACAAGTCGAGATGCTTCCTATGATGGACTGGATTAGTGACTGACGTGTGTGTATTATCAATACCAGAAAACAAACCATGCGAGAGCTTGGAAATGTATTCCAGCTCAGTCTGATGCCGTCGCGATCCTCAACGTCGCTCCATTGGTCCTTCAACGCTTCGTAGTCCATGTTGGCGGCGTGGTAAACGGGGCTCCGTTAATGGGGAAGAGTGAGGGGAGATCTCCTTGAACAATAACGATTCCAGAAGTGGAAATTTTGGAGCACCGCAGACTGAATATGGAAAAAAGATGCTCCTATAGCAAACACCCAGTCTCGAAGCGCGCAACGCCAACAGCTGCTGTCCTTAATGACTATGCGGGGGATCAGGAGACTGTTGTGTGAAGCGGCGGTGCTGGCATAAGGCCAGGTTGCAGCACAACCGGTGCCTGCGGCCCGCCGTACCCCCACGCTAGTGGCCTTTAAATAGCGGCTCTTCTCCCTCCACTTTCCAATTTTTTTTCTTTTCTTCTTATGAATTTCTTTCTTTTTTCACGCCGACATCATCTTTCTCAGCTTCTAGCCACCTCAATGGTGAAGTTGTTTACGCGTCGAGCGAAGAGTAAATCTGACCCGTTGCTGGGCACCTGGCTTTGAAAGGACGTTTTGTTCCTTTTGGATAATTTGGGAATCAGCTGTGGTCAAATCCCTAATTTCTTATAATATATTTTCCTTCAGAATTGGATCTGTGTATCGCAATATTGACATTCCCGTGTAATATTTACATAAAAGTGTGCCGAAAAAAAGTGTGCTGTATCCCAACGCAATAAACCAAACCCGACGCCTTATGGACTAAAAATTTCGCAAGAAAAGACAAACGCAATAGAAACATATCGTCGTAGACTCCCACGCAAGCTATTTAAGAACTCTTGGACGCCCGGGCTGTCTGCTTCAACAAGAAACTGCGCTTGAAGTAAGTGTTGGGGTGAACGATGGTGTCCAAATCCACTTGGTTCCATGAACCGTCTTCCTTGACTCTTTTGATCTCGGTCTTGTGAGTCGATTCGAAGACTCTGTTGCAAGCGATATGATACCGCATTTTCTCGACATCTTCTCGCACTCCACGGAGAACTTCCTTGTCATTGACGCCGGTGGTCTGAAGCAACCCAATGAGATTGTCGACCGAGTAATGGCGATAAGGGCATCCATGAGTCTGTCCAACTCCAGGGTTTGAGTCGCCTAAAATCTTCTGGCATGAATAAGGAGGATATCCTCGACCTCGGCGGTTCACATCGCCTCCCACATCACCATAAGCGTGGCGAATATTGTACTTGTATCGAGAGTTGAACTCGTCATCCGTGAAACCCTTGAACGACTGGCGCCAGAAAATGATGCATTCTTCGAGTGACAATCCAATACCCTTGAGGAACAGGGTGTATTGGAGTCGCCCATAGTGCTTGAGATGGTTGTTTTTCCGTAGGTTCATGTGGAGACTGCGCATACACAGTGGGAAATGTTGAGAAAGCTGGTCGATGTTGTTGGCAGTGATTGCAGCACCGTCAACAAACCCTTCACCTTCCGAATAAACAGACTCGGCGCTTCCAAAGTTCTTTGACAAATGATTCAAGATTGGAGTTAGACGATCATCCTCATCCAACCGCGGTAGTGCCCGACTCGTGAGCTGAAGAATGTTAGTGATAGGCAGGATCCTGACAGGGAGGGCAGTGTCCGTACCTCAAGCGCGCGTTCCAATCGGGCAGTGAACTCTGCAATAATCATGCTCAACTGCTCTCTTCCAGGTACATAGGCCTTGCCTTTATACAAGAACACAGATCTTCTCTCGACAAGCTCGGGTACTCGCTCCCAGTCCACTTTGTACCATGCCTCTTCATCCACACGACGTAAGCCTGGGGTGGCACCAATTAAATGCTCTGCCAATCTTTGTCTTTCATCATCCTCCACAGGCTCCCAGTCAAGGTTGAGGCTTTCGATGAAAGCGCGCTTCTCCCTCGTATCATCACGCTGGAAGCGGAATCTGAAGAGCATTGTTTCGGCTCTCACGAAACGCCGACGAAGGTCTTCTGTGGCGGAGAAGGCCAAACGAAGGATGAAGTGTGAATAATGGTCCTTTTGGCGCTCATTCTTAAGTCGCTGGTCAGCCGCACCGTTAGAGGAAGATGTGTTGGATGATAAGGGGAGGTATTTTTGGAGGAGAGGTGTAAGATGCGTCTCTGTCTCTGCCGCGGACTTGTTTCGATAAGAGCAGGCCTCGATTTCAGCCAGTACTGTCGAGAATATGAGTAACAGGAATGGCGTTGGGACTCTTGGGCTATCTGGATATACCTCTTAATCTGTCAATGGCCCATTGCTCAAATTGCTCGAGTGTAATCTCCTCCGTTGGCGGCACGTCGTAGAAATTCAGACGGTGCGGATAGTCTTGCTGCTTGAATGTGGGTGCAGCGAACTGCTTTTTCTTATGGTCGAGGTTGGCCCTTCTCTTAGGGTCAATCCTGAGAAAGTCGCTTCGAATCATGATGAAAGCGTAACAGCGATTCTGACACCCAAACAAGTGTACTGCAATCTCCTCAGCGACCGCAAGACAAATTCGATGTTGGAAGACCTGGCCAGCTCTGGGCCCTCGCGAAGGACGCGGGAACGCGCCGAAAACGCGACACGGTCACGTGAAGATAAATGGCCAACACTGCATCGCGGAAAGCAGCATAGCAGAGATTCCCAATCACATGCATGCACGAGAAACAGATGGGAGTGATCTACGTACTTGAGAAAGTTCCGAACATGTGACAATCTGTTTGACTTACTTCCAATATGAAAACCCGAAGAATGACACTACAAGTTCATGCGCACAGACGGACAACATTTACGATACCCCATGCCATGGCTGAAGCCCTGTTAGACGCAAGTGGACTTGACTACTCGCTGGTAACAGTATATACTGGATTGAAGATCAATTTCCTTGCGCCGTTTCGTTTCCTAGGCAAAGCGGATATTGCCTGCTGTACCTTGTATCCTGGCAGCTGCTATATTGTCAGCAGATGGCATTGTCGCGGTTTTCGCTCTGCATGCGCACAAGTATAGGCTTGACAAGCTCCCACCTGGCCTCACATATATTTCCGATAGGGTCAGAGCCTCATTCGATGCCACGAATGCCTCGCACTGCCTGTGCGTTCGGGAAATCTGTGCCCAGCACAGTCGCCAGCATACTAGCAAGTTCGGCGGTATAATAACCCCAAAGGCGCAATCTCAAGGTTGTCCACTTGGGTTTTGATCAGCCGTGTAAGCTCGTGAGGTCTTGTAGAAGGGTGACGTTGGTCTGAGGGAGAAGACCTATCATTTTACCGTAGTAAACCCCAGAACTGGAACATCATACGCACATATTATTGAGGTAGTGCTACCAATATCCGTACTATATTTGCAAGCCACAAAAGAGAAGCAGAAAGCCCCGGATCGAACTCCGCTCACCGACTTCCTAAAGAGGGAATCATCTACAAATCAACCCCACGATTTCGCGAGTCTTGCCGACTCGAGTCCAGAATTGAATGTCATTGCATCAGCTGAGCACCAGCCATTCTTGATAAGGGCGTAGGCGCAGAATCAACCGACATCTACCGTCGCTTCCTTCCATCAAAACATCTCCCTTCCAACTACAACTTATGTATCAGTAACCACCATCATGGACATCATATAGCGTACCGCCTTCCCGTTATCTGTCCCTGTCTTGAACAAGTTAGACGGCTCAACAATTCTCAACAAGCCGAAGTGCCTCTCAAAAGCCCTTGGGTTAGCCTTGCATTGCGGGCGCGATAATACCTACCTACCTAGATAGACCTCCTCCCCCCTCCCCCCAACAGAAGAACAAACACACAACAATGACGCGCGCTATCCGACCGCTCAGAAAAGCTGCGCGAATCATCCTTATAGGTGCACCTGGAGTCGGAAAAGGAACACAAACAGAGCGACTCCTCACGAGATTCCCCGACCTAGCCTCCATAAGCTCAGGCGACCTCCTCCGGGAAAATGTGCGAAGGAAAACACCCCTAGGTATGCTGATTCCCATTGGCACAATCTTCTGGAATTGTTGCGACAATTGCTAATGCTCTTTTTTCTCTCGTGCGATAGGTCTCAAAGCCGAGGCCGCAATGCAGTCCGGTAACCTTGTCCCCGATTCGATGATCCTCGAGCTTATATCGTCGGAACTCGAGTCCAAAGGCTGGCTTCCTCCACCCACAGCCACAGCCACATCAATGACAGCAGCAGCAGCAGCCGCACCTAGTTCTCCGTCGGTCTCTGCCAATGCCTCCTTCATCCTCGACGGATTTCCTCGCACCGCGACGCAGGCGTCAAGCCTCGACAACCTCGTGCCCGTGAACTTCGTTGTCCACCTCGTCACACCTCCATCCGTCATTCTCTCCCGCATAGGGTCGCGCTGGGTCCACGAACCGTCCGGAAGAGTCTACAATGCCGATTTCAACGCGCCCAGGGTTCCCGGCAAGGATGATATCACCGGCGAGCCGTTGACCCAGAGACAGGACGACTCGATCGATACGTGGAAGCAGCGGCTGCACAAGTTCGAGGAAACGAGCAAGGCTCTGCTAGAGCACTACCAGCGCAAGGGCTGCCTCTGGCGCGTTGAGGGCGACTCGAGCGATGAAATCAGTCCCAAGCTTTTCGCAGAGATTGAGCGACACTTCTGTTAAGTGTTTTGTGTGCTCTCCCTGGCTGCCTGTATCGGACACGTTTTTTTTGTATCATACATATCCATTTCTCTTTGTTCGGGGGTTTTTTTTCCTTTTCAGTTTTTTGCATTACAGCGGTCCTTGATGGATTGCAGGCATGAGCATCCCTTTCTATATGTTCTACCCTCTCTGCAGCTAGATAATGTCTTATTCAAGACAGCTGGCATCACTTGTGTGGCCAAGATGGCTTATGTGTCAGGTCTTAACGGAGATTACGATATGCCATTGCCAATGCCCACCAAAATCAGGGCGTCCTCATGGAATGTCTTCGTCAACGAACACGAATATTCATGGATGAACTCAATGTGCAAGCTTGAGATATCGCCGGGATCTTATGAAAATGAGCCGTATCGTCATAAGCGCGTAGACGTTATAATCTGCCTCGAAACAAGGGAATGGGGGCACGCGATAATTAACCCATCCTTCCCTGGCAGAAATTTCCGCCCTCGTTGCTTTTTCTAAGTCTTCTTCGTCTCCTCCTTCACCTGTATCGGGTTCTCCAGCCCCATTCGTGTCTTATAATCCCGGGGACTCTCCCACGCCTTGTTGCGGCGGAACCCCTTCCACATGCCCAACCCGCGGAGCTTAGCCCACCGCTCCGCCTGCCGGTACTTGCGCTCGGTCGCGGTGCCACCGAATTCCGCGCCGGACTTGGCCTCGTAGACAGTCGCGAGCCCCTTCCGCAGCATCTCGTACGAGACATCACGCCGCCGGAAGGGGATGGGGAAGTCGAGCGCCCGCCGCACCACCGCCGTCGCGACCACGCGCTGGTACTGATCGTGGCGGTGGACGTACGCGCGCACCCGCCGATTGCTCAGGTAGGCCGTGAGCCACTCGTGGGCTTCCTTGCTGAACGGCTGCGCGGGCCGACCGAAGTGCGCGAGTTCGGGGGCGTCGATGCCGGCCAGACGGATGTGAATCTTTCATAGGTACCAAAAACAAGAGTTAGTTCTGTGGCCAGAAACAAACAAGCAAGGAAAGACCAGGCCATGAAATCGGTGGAGTATTGAGTGATCTCTCGCCCCGGCCATTATTCCCCTCTCCCCACCTCCCCCCCCCCCCGACCGAAGTAGGAATTCATCCGCAAGGGAACAAACATACCGTCTTATCCCTCAACTCCTTCTTCGACGTCGGAACCTTCTTCCACGGCAACCATCCCCACCCGGCCAACCGGCCCCCGGGCGTATGATACAGCCGGAAGTTATCACCGTCGCCGACGCTCGTCACGCGTCCCAGAATACTCCTGCGCCGCATGTACGAGGGTAGGATGCTGCTCGCGTCCGGGAACCAGCGCAGGTAGCGCCCGTGGAGGCCCACAGCGCCGAGGATGCCGGTCGTCAGGATCCCCGTGGCGATCAGGGTTCGGGGCTCGGCGAAGGCGCGCCAGTCGATGCTGTTGTCGTAGGAGTGCCGGTCATTGTTGTTGTCGTCGGTGGTGGGAGATTTGGGAGCCCATGGCGGCCATCTCATCACGGCTCATAGTCCTCCCCCGCTTGGTGTGAGGCTTTCGCTGGGTTTGGTTGTTTGTTTGGGAATGGGGAGGGGAAGAGGGGTACGAGAGGGACGAGGGCGGAGTTGGTTTGGTTTAGGGGGGTTTGGTGCTGGTTTGCCGGGTGTTGATTAGCGGTGAGAAGAGGTTGAGTCCATGTGTTTTGGTTTTCGGCAGTTGGGTAGTTGCCGAGGTGAACTGCGGCCTTGCGGATATATGTCTAGACTATAACTTAGTAGTTATCCGGTCTCTTGAGTTGAAGGGTGCTCTCGAGATTGTGAAGAATCTACAAATTTCATATTTCGTTGGTTCTGGGTTGACTCTGGTGTCTATCAAAATATTTTCAAAATATATAATTGAATCTCTGCATATTGTAATGGTTCTATGGAGATACCAGCATATACATCATGATCAATGTTGCACAATGCCAGCTATTTGATAATAGTGGGCGTGCTCGGTATATGAATTGTCAAAGCATGAATGTAACCAAGTTCAAGTTCGTCAAATCGAGGGTCAAAAGAATGTAGTGAAGTCTAGGGACATGTCTGTTATAGGGTGAAGATAGTAAAGAGCATATATGGATCTGAGGAATTAAGAAGAAGTGATAGAAATCATTTCAAGGTAACTGGCAGACTGGTCTTGGCTGTCGATGTTGCGGAGTCCACTACCTTCTTGAGCTTCTGCGCCCGGAGTTTGCGCAGATAGGCGAACAGAAGGACGAATATGAGTTCAACACTAAAAATGATCAGTTGCTGCTAATGAGCATACTTGGAGACGAGCTCACCGTTCTTTCGTCATCATCAATAGACCCTGCACGAGGAGGCCCTTAGTGATCTGAGGTCCGATGCCCTTGAAGAGAGACAGCGCTCCTTCATTTTTTATAATGTACCGCATGACCTCGCTGAAGGTCTTGAAGGGTTTGCCTTCACGGCCGGGGGGCGGCCGCGACTGAAGGCCGACCTTGGCCACGATCAAAGGCTGCGTCGCAAGCGTGGCCAAAGACTTAGAAAGGGCACCAAGGACTGAGAGAAAGAGAGACAATCAGCATGAGTGAACATCAAATTGGAAGATACGTGAGCTACTCACGAAATGCCTCCCAGGGCTTTAGGTTGGTCTTTCCAGGAAACAGGACATCCTTCAACCGCTGATATGCCCCGTATGTGATCGCGGGGTTGACAACGAGGATCAGACTAGCCTTGAGTCCTCGCCACAAACCAGTCCAGCCGTCCTCACTGTCCACAATCTCTCTCCCCGTTTCGATCAGGCCTCTGCGCTCGCTCTTGTCTTGCGTCTGTTGCCTTGTAGTAATGACAGATACCGGGATAGTGAAGATCTGGGCGACAGCGCCGGCGACAGCGCCCAGCGAGAGCTCAATTGCAGTACCAGGAGGCTTAGGTACCTTGTTGGATGCCATGTAGAGCGATCGCACAATGGTGTACCAGTAGAAATAGGCGAAGTTGGTAGATGCAACACCGATCAAAGCCCCCGTGATACCGGAATATAGACCTTCGATACCCTCCTTCTCCACGATCCTGTTGATGGCATCCAGAGTCGATTTGTAGTGTACCGTCTCATCGGAGCTTTCTTTCTTCGTCTCGTCCGCTTGTTTCACTTGCACTTGAAGTTTGGTTTTCACACTAGGAGTAGAGTAACATAGCCAATTAGCTCAAATCCACCGCATTACGTAGTATGCCAGAGAAATACGGAGGATCAATTGCTCACAGATCAAGAGGGTAGACCATTGCGTTTGCAAGCACGGCACCCGTAGCACCTGCGACGGCGCTGCCCCACGGCGAGAGCGCGGGTTTTGTTTGACCGGCCATTCTGTGTAGAGGAGATGAGGCAATGTGCCGTTATTTTGGATAGGAGAGGAGATTGATGGTGAGGACAATATCAGTCACTGTGAATATCGTCCAGCGCAAGACCGATATCGCCTAATATTAAGTAAGAGTCGAATGCTAATTTCCCTCACCTGGAGGTCTAGCGGTGCGGAATAACTGGGGCCTTGATCGTGAGCGGGGGGGGAGAGACGGGAGAGTCAACGTAGCGCGCCAGAACCACGATGGAAATTGTTAAATGTTACAGCGGTGGATAATAAGGGTCAGAGATCAGGCTTGTCCAGCGAGAAGAAAAGAAGAATAAGTGAGGAGGCCCAAAGCGCATGGAAGAAAGAGAAAATGAGACATGACCAAAGAAGTCCAGAAATCCAGAAAACTAGAGTGATCTGCTGCAAAGAACCAGCCGGGGGATTCCCATCGCACCTCGGCGTGGTTGATTGTCGGTGCTCGCATGACGAAACGAGCCGAGGTCCGTTACTCTTATCGGTCTGGAGCGTGGACTCTCCAGGCTCCATTCCCGTCCCTCTTCTCCGATCCATGATCCAAACAAGAGTCAACTTTAAGGTTCTTTCACCTGATAGACCTGTATGTCATACTACACGGGAAATGTACATATCTTGTTATAGACTGGTCATCATTGATCTGGCCCCTAGGCAAGGATTCTGTACAGTGTACACCATGCATCCTCTCAACCTGTCTGACTCGAGGCTGGCTTTATCATTACCTAATTAGGCGGTTCCAGACGGAAGTCCCATAGTTTCTACTTGTCGTTGAACCGGTCAACAAAAAGGGAGCTTAGGCTCGAAGCCTGAAGCCTGGGGTTCACAGTTGTACATCACTGCACATCACGGCTTTCTGTCCAAGCAAACAAGAAAGCTTTCTTCACATTCGGTGCATGTAACTCTTATGATGATGGACACATGGAACAGGAGTATGTGAATGCCTTATACTCCAACACATAGCGGTAAAGCACGGCAGAATAGCAGCAAGGGAAGATGAGCAGCTGCCTGAGAGGGCAGGAAGCGGGTCCCGCACTGAGCGTGATACCGTAGTCTAACTTACCATTCATCTTCGTTAGACTATCTGAACCGATTTAACTGCAAAACACCCTTCCTTATCAATCTTATCACTATTTGCCCTATTGCACCTTGCTCGGAATGCTCCGCGGCGCGTTCACTGCTCAGCTTCTCATCGCTGCTAGATGATACTCGTTGCTGTGTTATTAGACATTCAAGAATCTAGCTCTCACACACACCAGCATGTCTCGAGCTGCTGCTGCTTCACAGAACTTGCAAATTAGCCAAGCCTTGGTCAGGAGTCCCGGCCCCCAAGCTCATCTGCAATTCAAATTAAGAGCATTTTGGATTGACGATGATATAGACAGCCGAGGAAGATGTACTTGCCGCTACATCTCAAGCGGAGGCTCTTGAAGCAGCTATCAACGCTGCTGAGCACTACATGAAAGCCTTAAGCTTGTCGTCAACCTCAAAGGACAAAAAAGCTCTAGACGCTAAGTGCAAAGATTGGCTTCTCCGGGCCGAAAGAATCAAGGTAGCCAAAGATTGGCGCCTTGCGATTCTCGACCATGGCAGCAATGACCCAGTGACTCGTTACCCTAGATCGGTGCGCAAACTCACAACTCGGGAGGAAATCATTCTTCTCGAGAGTGCGAAATTGAATCATGCAATCTTTCCACCATGGTCAAGTGCTCCAGGATTTGATGAGTTTGAACGACAACTTGGGGAGGACCTCTTTACGTATGTGGAGTAATTATGCACTTCAGCACAAGAATCAATCTGACCTGGACCAGAGACTCGCCCGAACTCCATCTCTCAAACCAACAGAGGGATGTTTTTGCGGGCTGGAAACGACCAAAGGAGCTCCTTTTGCAAAAGCACGCAGGAGAAACAGACATTTCCACTGTCCCGGCGATGGCTGTAACAGAGAAGACTGATTTAGTGCAAGACATGGTAACAGATTGCTCTGTCGTTGCTAGTCTATGCGCTATTACATCTAGGTACGAGCGTGGAATTGATAAGGTACGCCAAGTCACTATAGAATCGTGACATCTTCAAGCGAATCTGACAATTCCAGTTCCATTATCCGGTGGTATATCCCTGCGATCTTCGTTACACAGATCCCAAGCTTTCGCCTTCGGGGAAATACATCTTCTGTTTTTATTTCAACGGGTGTTTTCGCAAGGTGGTCATAGATGATCGCCTACCATCGTCGAAAAAATCACGGTCACTTCATGTGGTCGACCGAAGCAATCCTTGCTATATATGGCCTGCCTTGGTGGAGAAAGCGTACCTGAAGCTTCGCGGGGGATATGATTTTCCTGGAAGTAACTCTGGAACAGACTTGTGGGTGCTGACAGGATGGATCCCCGAGCAAGTCTTCCTTCACCATGAAGACGTCACTGGCGAACAGATCTGGAGGCGGCTTTATAAAGCATTTCAAGCCGGTGATGTTCTTCTGACAATAGGTACTGGAAGATTAACAGAAAGGGAGCAGGAGGAACTTGGCTTAGTGAGTGAGCATGACTATGCCATTCTGGATATGAAGGAGACCAAAAGCCGCCATCAAATGCTCGTGAAGAATCCATGGGCTGGCGATTATGACCATGACAGCAACTTCGAACTCAGCTCTGGCTACGGAGATACGTCTCAAGTCTCACCTGGTACCTTTTGGATGGACTGTGAGGATGTTCTTCAAAATTTTGAAAATCTATATCTGAATTGGAATCCCTCCCTGTTCAGATGCCGACAAGATCTTCATTTTACATGGGACCTCACAACTGATAGAGGACTGGCTGGTTGTTTCGCAAAGAACCCTCAGTTTTCTGTGTCTAGCAATGCTGGCGGTACCGTCTGGTTACTGCTTGGAAAGCATTTTCGGACAGTCGACCATCACCACGAATCTGGGCCACCTGCCCATTGCGACGAGCCCGGATTCATCAGCCTCTATGTTTTTGATGCAGGTGGTCAACGAGTCTCCTTGAGTGACGGGGCACTTCATCGCGGCCCCTATGTTGATTCGCCGAACACTCTAATGAGGTTAGAGATGCCTTCATATACGACCTACACCGTGGTAGTATCCGAGCAATCTTTACCATCCGCAAAGCAGCATTTCACACTATCTGCATTGTCCTCTAGCCCAGTGAGTATCGCGCATGCGCAGAATAAATACAAATTCACAACAAAGGTCCATGGCTCCTGGACCCCTTCGACTGCAGGAGGGAATGCAGAGTCAGCCCGATATCCATTTAATCCCCAATTTAGCTTTAAAATCAGCAGTGCAACTGATATTTCGCTCCTCCTCGAGCCAGAGGAGCCCGACTTAGCAACGCATGTTAAATTGTTCTGGTCTAACGGTCAGCGTATCTCGCGAGTTCGAAGCCGCGACATTGCTGCCGACAGTGGGGACTACCGTCGTGGCGGCTCGCTTGCAGAGAAATTGGGGCTTAGTGAAGGAGTCTACACAATCGTCTGCTCGACTTTCGCGCCCGATCAATTGGGAAGCTTCAACCTCTGGGTTTCTTCCTCCGGTCCATGTGAAGTGAAGCCGCTGGCGCCAGAAGCCGCTGGGCGACGCGCAGTGATATCGGACATTGGAGTCCTGTCCCCTGGGAAAGACCGGATGCTGGCGCCGCTGGAGACCCCACGGCTGACGCGCCTTAAGATAATTGGAAGAAGCAGACAGTCCACGATTGCGAACCGATCCGTTGGGCCTTCGCCTATGTTGATGACAGTCGAACTCGGCCAAGGACCTTACAAAGAGATACTAGCAACATCTGAAGACGGAAACCACAGTGATGCCATTTCGGGTGTGCGCATCGAGGACTTCAATCTGCACCCTAACCTTGAGGACCGTGGCGGAGCGTGGATTGTCATCGAGCGGATTGGGGGACCTGGAGGACAGGTTGAAGACCACTTTGAGGTGGAAATTCTAGGTGAAGAGAAGGTGTACGTTGGAGAATGGATAGTTGAGGATGCATGATTAATCTAGCTAAATCAACAGACGGCTGTCTTGTTGGCTCGAAAACATAGCGCAGGCCATTACACTGTACCTTAAGAGCATTCTGCATGCTAATTCTCCTGTCAAGTAAAAAGATTAGGAGCAACTTGAAACTTGAATGATTAGAAAGTAACGCTTAGGGAGAAATTAATATCGAGGTGGATAATATATGATTCCGCTTGTGGTAGGCCGCCAAGCAGCAAAGCAGGAGACCGCAGCTGTGCCGAGGCGGTTAGTCTAACGATCGGTGCAGTTTCCGCTCCGGAACGTCATCCCCGCCTGCATCACGTTATCTTTCACCCCTCCAAACAACAAACAACGTCAGTGCCCCAAGATCAACTTTCCCATACCGACCTAATGGCCAGCAATATTCCCGCTAGCTTGAAATCCGCGGATATTGGGCGATTTGCCCTCAGGGCAGCTCAGCTTGAACGCGCAAAGCCCGTCGTGGCCTACTGGTGTAAGTGTCATTTGTGCGCCGAAAGTCAGTGCTTCCTGAATGTGATCTGAAGCTAATCATGGGTCCTTTTCCACTTCTTAGGCAACTTTTGGATTGTGAATCAAATAATTGAGAGAGGACTGCACACCTCTGATGATGAGGTTAAGCTGTATACGACGGAGCTGGTGGACAAGCTGGAGGAGGTAAGTCAGGCGCAATTGCTAGCCTAACCCCTTGTGTGCAGTATCTGGATGCTGACATTGCCCTCACTCTCGCCTTAAAGTTCAAGAACGAAAACCCCGACAATGACGCTGTGACGGATGCTGTCGCAGCTAATGCATATGTAGAGCAATTTGCTCTGGAGGTCCTTGGGCGTGCGGAGGCGACGATGAAGGCCAACAAAGTGACGAAGTTCGTTCCGCCCTACGCAACAAGTTCAAATAGGATGACAGCTAACCGTAGCCATAGACAAACAGCAGATACGTTTCAGGCGGCTGCCACTTTTCTAGAATTATGCCAGATCTGGAACCCTCCGGATGCCGAAATCGCTGCGAAGATCAAGTTCGCCAAGTATCACGCTGTCAGAATCATTAAAGCAATCAAAGCTGGAGAAGATCCGAATGCGTCAAACCCCGTTATTGCTGAGGAGGAGGAAGAAGCAGTGGCCGACCTAGAGCCTAGACCAGATGATCCGGAAGTGCAGGCCATTGTCGGATCCCTGCCCATCCAGCCGAGGCAGCCGTCCGTAGAGGACGTCCAGGATGACTCTGGAGACGCGTCGCAAGCACCGCTTGTCTTACCAGATACACCAAACACAACGAGAGACAGTGCCTCTGTCTACCAGCGGACTGGATCACCTTCCGGAGTCAAAGTGGAGGACGATACAGAACAAGGACTGGACCTACCCTCTGCACCAGAGACATTTGCATCTTCATCAGGCCCCGTACCTGATCTTCCGGACACCCCTGGGAATATAGACGGGAA